CAGATGTTCGTCAGTGGATGCATGGATAAACCAAATGGGGTCTATCCACACAATAAGGTGTTACTCGGCCATTACAAGGAATGAATTCGTATTCCATGATTCGTTGTAATATGATTAATGATTCGTGATACAATGTGGACGGACTTTGAAGATATTAGACCAAGTGTAAGAAGCCAAGTGTAACAGGCCACATAGTGTGTGATTCCATTGATATTTATATTTATATTTATATTTATATTATGGCTGCCAGGGGGCCATTCAGTGAGTTGTGCGCGGCGACCCGTGCGTCGGTGTGGAACCGCGCTCCACAAGTCTCTCCGCGGTGGGCACTTTCGGAAGGAGACAGTCAGGGCTGTGTTCCCCAGGTGAGACGGCACCTGCTTTAAGCAGCAGTAACTCTGCTCTAGGAGCCCTGGGACGTGGAAACGGTGAGCACACTCTGCTGCTAACTGAAAGGCTGAAGGTTCAAGTTTGCCCGGGAGGTACCACGGAAGACAGCCCCCATGGTCTCCTTCCAAAAGAGTTCACGGCGGAGAAACTTGTGGCGTGTGCTTCTACGCCGACGCATGGGGGACACCACCACTCGGAGCTGACTTAAGGGCGGCTGGTGGATTAACTCTGCTGTAGTGCACCTTTACAGATGCAGTCCGAAAGGGTCATGGAAGGTGGGCAGTTAAAGCAGCAGCATGAGGGGCCCAAGGCCAGCCAGGGAGGAATGTGACTGGTGGTCTGAGGAGGTGAGGGCTGTGGGCTCCCAGAGCACAGGAGCGGGAGCATGTCCTTGGGGTGTGGCGGCCACCTGACGGGCCCCTTGAGTGGAGACAATAGCCGTCTGTGCTGGGCAGTTGCTGGTGAGGCCTCAGGCTCCACACCTGGCTTCCACCCATCTTTTCTAGCACCAATGGAGGCATTTGACAGTCTGCTCCGCCTGTGTCTCTTCGGAAAGGTGCTCTTTGTTTTGTTTTAATGGGAGCCTGATTCTCCCAATAAATTCAGTCTCCAAGAAATAGTTTGTGGGCACCATTTGTGTCGATGCCAGGAGTCCAGTTTGGTAGTTCTGGAAAGGCATTTGGAAATGTGTTTTAAAAACCTCTGTACATGAAGTGGGAGAAAAATGTGTAACAAAACTCAGAACCACAAAAAAGACCAGGCTTACTGATCTGATAGAGACTAGTGGAACCCCTAAGACTATGGCCCCTAGTTACCCTTCAGGACTGGAATTGAACTCATTC